CCCCCCCAATAGCTAGCAATCCAAAACAGTCCAGTGGAGCCTGAGTGGTGGGTGTTGCCTTCTGACACACTTCCGGTGATGCCAGGGGGTGTGGCATATGTAAATAAGTTATGCTAATGACTTATGCTAATGAGCTCCTGCACCTCTTTTTCTATGAAATGACCCCTGGTGGGGGTATCCCATGACTAAGAGGAGAGCAGATCTTTACTGGCTGCATTGTATAATTTTTTTTTTTTTTAACTGCCCCAAGGGGCAGAATTTTATTTATTTTTCAAAACAAACAAACATATAAACATACACACATTACAACACAAAACATGAATGGGGGTAAAAACATGCTTATCAAGGTAGATTGCCTCATAAGTTTATAATATTAAAATCACGTTTCCTTATCATATATATTTCTTTCTCTGTTAGGTCTATTTCTAAACATTACAATCTATGTCTATATCTCCTTATTTTGGTGTTCAAACCTTTGATTAGCAGTCTTTGTGATACAATTAGGGTTAAACCTTTATGCTTCAGTCTGTTATACTGTTATTATACTAATCATAAAACCATTTCCATGTATTGTATAAATTGGCCAGCTCTGCCTCCAGTACTCTGTTCCTTATTTTTTGCAGCGCCTCCGATTCTGAAAGTAAAAGGAGAGGTTCGAGGGGAATATTCAGAGTCCCCACTTTACTCTCTATGGCTGCTAGCCAAGGTGAAGAACTCAGATTCCATTAAAAGCTGGTAAATATAACTGGAAGGGTCAGAGTTATAACGCAGCCAAAGTCTGCACTGGCAAGGCGGGATACAAACTGAAAATAATATATAAATAAATAAAATTATTTGAAGGTCACAAGCCACGCCCTCGTGGTCATAAGATTTTGGCCACATTCCATACATAGGGATGCATATGAGACACAAGATGGAACGCCCAGTATTTCCCATAAGAAGGACAGATGTACCTGTTCTATCGATTGGTTTACTGCATCAATCCATGTAGAGGGCTATGGGTTATTTATTTATTATTTATTTTTTCGCATTTGTATCCCGCCCATCCCGTAAACGGGCTCAGGGCGGGTTACAATGTTTTAATAAATACAATAAAATTTAAAGCATATAAAATCGGTAGTCATGCTTGCCGTAGGGAGAATCCGGCCCACTGATGTAACTAGGCCAGTTATTATAGGTGGGAGATCGCAACCTGGGGGGGGGGGCCATATGTGGACGCCCGCTGCCTCAGCCAAAGGCCTCGCGGAACAGCTCCTGCGGATTGCATAAGATCCCGCAGGGCCCTGATCTCAATAGGGGGCATGTTCCACCAGGTGGGGTCCAGGGCAGAGAAAGCCCTGGCCCTGGTCGAGGCTAGGCGGACGTCCTTTGGGCCAGGGACCGCCAGGAGATGTTGACTCTCAGAGCGTAACGCTCTCCGAGGCGTATATGGGAAGAGGCGGTCCCTTAGGTATGTTGGTCAATTCCTGGCATCTCCAGTTTAAAAGGACCAGGCAGGAGGTGATGGGAAAGACCTCCGCCTGAGACCCTGGAGAGCCGCTGCCAGTCTGAGTGGACAATACTGACCTTGATGGACCCCAAGAGGGCTAAACCTCCTGTGTGACCGGGGCCCGTGATGGACCCCAAGGGTCTGATTCAGTATAAGGCAGCTTCGTATGTACACATGGACCAAGATCTATCTATATTGCATTTCGAACACGGGACAATCAGATGTCTCTGAGGTGTACATCAAGATCATAACAGACACCTTCTCCGACACTCCAGCTCTCGAGACGGGGTGACCAGAACGGGACAAGAGACTCCAGATGTAGCCATACCAGCTTCATAATATCCGTTGCTTTGTTTCTAATCCCTTTCTTAATAATCTGTAGCAAATTTTCCATCGGAGAAAAGAAGCCTGCCGCCTCTACCTCCTCCTTTCCACGGTGGCCCACTGATCTCCACAAAAGGTTGTTCCTGGGAAACAGGGGGCCCCGAGGAACCACACAAGGGGGCTCTGTGGAAGAAGAGGGAATCGGTGGGAACTGTCAGATTAGTCTGGCGCCAACCCACAGAACTTCCTTCTCGACTCTGCCACACACTGAACCAACATTTTCAATGAGCTGTCCATCGTGACCCCAAGTACTTAGATGGGAGACTACCAAAGAAGTCACTACGAGGAGGCAGGCAATGGTGAACCACCTCTGTGTGTCTCTTGCCCTGACCTGGACAGCCCAGGCTGGCCCAATCTCATTAGCTCTGGGAAGCTAAGCAGGGTCAGCCCTGTTTAGTATTTGGATGGGAGACCACCAAGGAAGCCCAGGGCTTGCTACGCACAGGCAGGAAATCAGCAAACCATTTCTCCTTGTCTCTTGCCTTGAAAACCCTACAGGGCTGCCATAAGCCAGCTGTGACTTAATTGCGAAAATAAATAAGGTGTAATAAGTCAAACAAGGAAGGAGGCAAACAAAACAAACAAAAAATCAGCTTTGGGCTTCCTAGAGATCAACGATTCCTCATGAAGGCGAGGAAACCCCTTCAGACTCCCGGACAACCAACGAGAGGGCGAAAACAAGGCCGACTTTGGGCATTTCCGCCCAGAGGCCTACCTTGATGAGCAGCTGGACCCGTTTCTGCAGACACCGCGCCATCGTTTCGGCCTGCTCCCGTTTCTTCTTCTCATCCAGCAGTTGGCTTTGCACCTTCAGGAGCTCATCTTGAAGCTGCTTCCGGGCGTTTTCGAGTTCCCGGGCACTGCAAAAAAAGGGAAGAGGACCAGAACGGATCAGCTAAGAGCATCCAGTTCTGAGATGTACCACAATGAACAAACCGCCTGCAGAACCAAGGTCTTCCCGACCAGCTGCAAACCTCTTCCTATTTAAAAAAAAAAACTGGAACCGAGTTCTTACTTTGGCACTTGAAGATGTAAGTAGGATACAAACAGAACAAAGTTTGAATCTGGTGGCACCCTTTCAGACCAACAAAGTTTCATTCTGGGTCTATGCACTTGCAAGCCTATGCCCAGAATAAAACTTTGTTGGCCTTAAAGGTGCCACTGGACTCAAACTTCATTCTGCTGCTTCAGACCAACACAAAGCTCCCTCTAAGCTGCGAAGCCTTGTGAGCAAAAATCCTATTTTGTGAGCTACCGGCATTAAAGTTGTGAGCGAGCGATTTGGCTACTGCATAAGCTAGTTTGCTCTGGAGCCGTCCTTCCTGAGCTAAGACAAAAATGTGTGAGCCGGAGGCTAAGAAACTATGAGCTAGCTCACACTAACTCAGCTTAGCGGGAACACCCACCTGAATCTGAGGATGCAAACAGTCTCAATGAGTTTAACAGCATTACATGTGTGTTTGTTTTCATATGGCATCAACCAGGCTGATTAGCTGCAAGCCTAGCATGATGTCTCTCTCACACACACGCACACATACATGCACGAGCATGCACACCTCCACAGATGTTAACACTATTAATTTATTCGCATCCCATTTGTCTCTGTAGGCACATTCAGTTGTGACCTTGCGCCATTTTGCCTTCTCCCACTGTTATGCCCCCAAGAGACTCCAACTACTTCCGCTTGCTGTGGCTGAGCTCCCCGGACTGTCTAAGGCAGCACACAAAGCCAGGGGGAAGCACAATATCTGGGGACGGACATTCAGGCAATACTTTTTGGGGAAAGTAGGGTGTCAAAGAAAAACTGAGTTGTGATTAGAAAAAAATTTGAGTCCAGTGGCACCGTTAAGACCAACAAAGTGATTAGACTATCGGGCTAGGATCTAGGAGACCCAGGTTCGAAACCCCACTCTGCCACCGAAGTTCCCCGGGTGATCTCGGGCCAGTCACTGCCTGTCAGCAGAACCTTCTTCCCTCACAGTGGTAGATCTGAGTCCAGTAGCACCAAATAAACTGGCAGGATTGGGGGGGGGGATAAACTTTCAAGAGTCAGAGAGCTTCAATTCTTGAAAGTGTACACCCCAAAAATCTTGGAGAAGAGGAGAATGACGTCAGCCATTTTGTGTTCCCAATGGGGAGAAAGTGAGGTATAAATAAAATTTTAAAAAAAACAGAAGACTGACATATCTTTGTTGTGTTAGAGGGCTAATGTCAGGCCATCTATAACAAGAGACAAGAACAGAAACCAAATTCCGAATCCAGTAGCACCTTAGAAACCCACAAGGCTTTCGGGGTACAATCTTTCAAAAGTCAAAATTTCAATATGCTATCAAAGGCTTTCACGGCCAGAGTTCATTAGTTGTTGTCGATTTTCCGGGTTGTACGGCTGTGGTTTTGGCCATGGCCACACAGCCCAGAAAATCTACAACAACTAAAGCCAAAACTTCGTCTGACGAAAGGGAGTTTTGACTCTCGAAAGCACAGAACTCCAAATATCTTGTTGGTCTCCATTCCAAGGTGGTACCAGGTTCAAATCTAGCTCTCCTACTGCACACCAGAATGGCTAAACGTCTGCAATTTACAAACCAGCAACCAGTGTGGGAGTATTGCTTGTGTTTTAAAGACAACAGCAACACCCTATGAAAGATACTGATGCTCTGGGATAAACGGATTTCGGGCCCCTTTCCATGTACCTCTTTATGATCCCCAAAGGAGACCTACAGACGTACTACCTGCAAATCCCCAGCAAAATCTTTCCCGGACTAGCTATTTTCGCCCCAAGTGTGTCTTTAAATCCATCAAGGAACTAAAGGGCTGTATGAAAGTTCCAGTTCAATCTGAAGCTAGTCATATACAGATTTAATCATCAGAGTGTAAAATGGGCTTCTTTTCATTGTAGGGCTCAGGTGCGAAAGCTAATCACGAACGCTATAAATCTGTGGAGGGAAGAAATGGCTAATTTAATAACCAGGACATCGCTCTGCCCCCCGCTCCCCTTTTCTGTTTTAATTAATTAGTTACGCAGCGCATGAAACCTTTGCCATAGAGTGGAGTGTACGTCTAATGTTAAGAAACCATTACAAACGGCAGGACTTCAATAGTAAAATAACAAAAAAACTGGGAGGGGGAGACATCATTCTTTTCCTCCAGCCACCGCTGCTAAGATTTCAGAACACAGATGAAAAGTCCCAATTTTATGCATCATAATCCTTGGATAAAACAGCCGCTAGATAACACAAAGAACTTCCCTCTCCCCTCTCTTTAATGGACTTGCAGTGATTTTTTTCCTCCAGTGGACAGCAGAATCTAGTTCAGATTTCAGTTCTGAACTGGGGGAGGGGGTCCAACACAGTAACAATAAGTTAAATACGGGCAGCCAGTGTGATGCAGCAACAAAAAAGGCTAATGCGATCTTGGGGTGTATCAACAGAGGGCTAACATCCAAATGGCAAGATGTCATAGTCCTACTGTACACTGCATTGGTCAGGCCGCACCTGGAGTCCTGTGTGCAGTTCTGGGAGGCCTCATTTCAAAAAGGATGTGGACAGAATGGAGCGGGTGCAGAGGAGAGCAACGAGGATGATCAAGCCCTGTGAGGAAAGGCTGAGGGACTTGGGAATGCTCAGTCTGGAGAAGAGGAGGTTGAGGGGGGACATGATGGCTGTCTTTAAATATGTGTGTGTATATAAATATATATAGTTATATTAAGACACTGAGCTGCAGACTGGAAGGTTGGTAGTTCGGCAGTTCGAGACCCAAGTGCCGCAAGACGGAGTGAGCTCCCATCTCTGACCCCAGCTCCTGCCAACCTAGCAGTTCGAAAGCAAGAAATTGCAAGTAGATAAATAGGCACTGCTTCGGTGGGAAGGTAACAGCGTTCTGTGCGCTTCGGTGTTTAGTCATGCCGGCCACATGACCACAGAAACATCTTCGGACAGCGCTTGATCTCCGGCTTGGAAACAGATGAGCACCGCCCCCTAGAGTCGGATTCGACTGGCTTTCAAGCAAGGAAAACCTTTACCTTTTTACACACACACACACACACACCATAATCTACATGCATTTTAAAGTTGCAGGCATAAAACATTACAACTCAGAGCAAGTCAGATACAAAAACACAATTATCCACGCTCTCTTGAAGTATTTGAAGGGCTGTCACTTAGACGAGGGCAAGGAGCTGTTCCTGTTGGCAGCAGAGGACTCCCAATAATGGGCTTAAATTAAGGGCAAGAAGGTACCAGCTGGGCATTAGGAAAAACTTTTTTTACAGTAAGAGTTGTGCAGGAGTGGAATCAGCTGCCAAGGGAGCTGGTGAGCTCCCCCCTCACTGGCAGTCTTGAACCAGCGGCTGGACAGACACATTTCAGGGATGCTCTAGGTTGATCCTGCATTGAGCAGGGGATTGGACTAGATGACCTGTACGGCCCCTTCCATTTCTGTGACTCTATGGGTGCGGTCAGACGGCGTGCTGAGAGCGGGTAAAACTGCTCCAGTTCTAACCGGATTATATTTGACCCGGATAATCGCGATCACATTTACCTCCCTTATCCCACCTCACTGTGTAGTCACGTCGCTCCCCGGCATCTACACTGACACGCGGGAGTGTGTGTCGGTGGGGTCCCCCCCTCAATTTGCGCATGCGCATAGGCGCCCCTCCGTAGAAGGGGGGGAAACTATTATGGCGCATGCACAGAACAATCAGGGCAAATCAATCCAACCCCTCCAACAAAAGATTTCCCTTTAAATGTTTGACCCGAAAATGGCCTCCGTGAGATCCCGAACTCATCTAAATGCTAAAAACAACTGACCGTTTAAATGTTGGTTTTCTAAACGCGGTGGCGGAGCTCCGCCTATGCGCGCACCGCCAATGCATTAAAAAATGGTGGCCGAAAAGCAGAAGCCTTGGGCAGCTTTCGAGTGGGGAGGGGGTTTAAACTGGAAGTGGCTCGACACCATAGGAGCGATCAGACGTCAGAAAAGTGCGGCTAGAACCGGAGAATCAGGAAAACACCACTTGGGGACCTGGAAACAAAATAGTCCATTTTAAAGGGGGGTTGAGCCGGAAAGTGACGGCTGGGGACAGTGCGCAGATGTTGGGTGTGTGAACGTGGATATAAAATCCGTTACTGAAGTGTGCCAAAAGCGGACTAAACGGCCCGTCTGAACGCACCCTGTGATTCTATGACAGTACTCAAGAGTCCTCTAACACCTTTTTTTTCCTCCATTTTATTTCATAGGCTTTTTAGAGGAAGACCTACAACAAAAGTGAATGATGGATGAATACCCTACTGGGACTACCTTTGCTCTTGGCTACATGCAGTATACCAGCATTATCACGGACAACCAGCAAGCAGCCATTCTGATGTTCGTCATTTCTGGGAGACTTCGAGAAGACGGTCAAAGGCAAAAAGAGTTGGTCCCTCCTGCCAGAAAGAACAGATTCTGACCCATTTCCAAGATCTGCAGTACGGACATAGGAACACTTGTGTCCTTCGGCGCCACAGTCGTGTGTACCTTAACATCAAAGTTCTAGCAACTCAACTCTACACGTTACCACCTGGAGAACAACCTGCCCTCCCCTCGCCCAGAGGCGACAAGACCTCGGGTTCCTTAATGCCAGCACATCAGACATCCTTTCCTCTGAAGCTCATAAAAAATTAAAAAACCTCACATCTGATGGCCAAGCTGCAAGTTGGCATTTTCAGAAATCTTTGCAAGTTCAAAGGACTTATTCTTGGCCTTAAAGGGGGGGGAAGGCGTTTTCTGTTTCATCAGCCTATTAATGCAACTCGAGTGAATGAAACGGACAGATCTCTCTGTTCCGAGTGGCCACTTCAATATCGTCTTCGTGATCAAATTC